ACCTTCTGCTGCTCAGGCCATAGCCTGAGGCTCATTACTGGACCTTTCTATCCTTTACCCCTGACTCCTATCATCACTAAGTGGTTCTGCCTCCAACATATTTTTTTGGAATTATTTGCCTCTTCCTACCTCCACCGCTAACAACCTGGTCTGAATGACCATCGCCTCCTGTCTGGACAAATGTAACAGCCTCCTTGCTAGTCCCCAAGCTCCATTCTTTTTTTTTTTTTTTTTTTTTAAAGATTTTATTTTATTTATTTGTCAGAGAGAGAGAGAGGGAGAGAGAGCGAGCACAGGCAGACAGAATGGCAGGCAGAGGCAGAGGGAGAAGCAGGCTCCCTGATGAGCAAGGAGCCCGATGTGGGACTCGATCCCAGGACGCTGGGATCATGACCTGAGCCGAAGGCAGCTGCTTAACCAACTGAGCCACCCAGGCGTCCCCCCAAGCTCCATTCTTGCCTCCCTAACATTCATCTCCCACCCAGCACCACAAAGAGCTTGCTGGAATCCGTATCTGAATATAGCATTCTTCTGCTTTAAACCATCCCCTGAATCCCTTTGCCCTTAGAATCAAAATCAAACACCGTATAATGATCTGAAGCGCAAAGCCCCCCCCCCAAAACATGACCTGGCCCTTGCCAGGCACCCCACGTTCCCTTTCCTTTCCTTCTGCTTATTTCCAGCCTCCCCACCCTCCTCCGTTTCCTCCAAAGTCCCGATCACGTTCCTGTCGGATTCCCCCCACTGGCTCTCCTCATTCCTCCACCTTCCGCAGACCTGACTTCTCCATGTCATCCAGACCCCAGCCCAAATATTTAAGGACCCTCAAGGGGGCTCAGGCTCATGTCACCTTCCCCCCACACTTAGGTCCTATGACTCTTGTTTTCATCACGTTCTTCTCACGATCTGAAATTATACGGAAATTTTACTTATGTGTTTCCATTCACTGACAATATAGCCCCCCTGACTGCAGAAAGCTTGTCGGTTTTTCTTCAGCCTTGTGTCCGCAGTGACAACAGTGCCTGGTGTTAATAGGGGCTCAGCAAAATGGGTCAAATGAAAATGATTCTTAATAAATCCCACTGACCTGATGCAGGCATAGAATGACGGAGAACTGGATTCAGCAGATCCAGTTGTCTACACCTGTCTACACCACTTACTAGACGTGTCTTTTAGCCAGTTATCTGACCCTCAGTTTCTTCGTCTGAAATATGATAACAAAGGCCTCTACTGGATGGGGCTGCAAAGAGCTACTCCATGGATTAAACGAGAAGAAAAACCTAAACACAGTACATAGTAAGGGCTTAATAAATTGTAGCTAGCTAGTGTGTATCTATAGAAATTACACACAAACACACACACACACACACACATTTTGTTCACTTCATTTAGTGTAATGGTTCTACCGTCCGGTCTTTGAGACCTCAACTTGTGTGTTCTTAACAACATTGTATCTCAAGAGCAGAGTCTGAGTCCCTAACGTCCTCCGCCCACTGCCTAGCCCACCCCAGCACGGTTATGAGCTTTTATAAACCTCTTTAAATGATTTATCTGAAAATATAAATATTTTCCTCCAGTATCATACAGCGGTTTCAAGCAGCCTACATTCCTTCTACTTCCTCGGTCTGTGAACAGTAAATACACACAGGTCTCTACAAATATCACACATGCTGAACGACAGAGTAAAATCATCTTTGGACTTACCGTAACAAATCCTGCGGGCCCACACGGAAGCGGCAGCCCCCGACACGGCAAGGTACGCCCCTCTTACAACACACAGCGGCAGGGACAATTCCATCTTTGTCATTTATTCCTTTTATTTGGACAACGTATATACATATGTACAAAATACCTACTGTCAGAATCCTCTTTTACAATTTCATTTGATTTACAAAAACGGAACAACAAAATAACTTAGGTCACTAATACTGTACAAAAATAAAACTGATTAAACAGTTGTAAAGATCAGTATCTTACAGTGTTACAGATCATTCATCTGCGGTGAAAGAACATCTCGGTCTATCCAGAGTGATGAGCGCTGTGCTAAGTCTACCTGCGAAGTGACGAGTAATCAATTTCTGTAACATGACTACCGAACATAATTCTCAAAAGAAGCATGATGTAAAGCCTGACCTTAAAGGCAGGGCGTCATTCCAAAGCGGTGAAGGGCTTTCTTCTTCCCTAACCAAGGAGAGGAGTTATCTTAACTCTAAAACTATTAAATTTTCCAGAATATGACAACTACTTACAGTATTAGATAAAACGACTTGTCTTTCTTTTTAAACACCTGCAAGAGTCTTTCAAAAAAATTCAGTTTGGTTAAAAAAGTAAACAAAAATTACTATCCTGCATTTGGATTTTTACAAGTTAAATCCATGGTCTTTTTAATATAAAAAGTAATTGCTTCATAGTTTTAGTGTTCAATGAACTCTAGTAGTCCTATTTGAACCATATCTTGATAGAGTAAATCTAATTAGAATGCTGGTTCCTGTTTTGTGACATTTGAAAACAGGATTTATCACGAAGAATAAAAAGCCTTGAGTTTATACGTTACGTTACTATAACATATAAGAGAATATCAAATGTGTGTTCTTCAACAACTTGAAAAGGCAAGTAACAACTTTTTTTGGGAAGTTAAATTGTGCATTTTTTTTTTTTTAAAACAAGTTGCTGCATTTATACCCATCTAAGTAAGTGCGGGACAAAAGCCACATATAGATTTACTCTTGAAACTACAAAGATTGTCTTTCACTGACTTTGCTTGGTTTTCCTTCATTTCTTTCTGTGAGGGGAAGATGAGTTTGTCCAAGTTGGCGGGTTGCTAGGCAGCCCCAAACTCCTCACTCACTAAAAGGCAGCGTGCAAAGGATCACAAGCAGGACCGTTCCGTGAGCTCAGTAAGAAATAGCCTAACCTATTTCGTATGGAAGAACAGATGTCCTTAAAACTTATTTTGGACACAGAAATTAAAATTTGGTTTAAAATAAGCGTTTCAAAAACCTGAAACAGAGGTAGAAAGTGTTCTTTATTTTTCCTGACATGTTTTCCCGTGAGAAAACACTTTCCTTTTTATCTCAATGGACTGTTCCCAGTCCCTAATGTTAAAAGCAGTTCTCTTTATAGAACTACTGATACAACTACATTGGTTAAACAAACAAAAAAGAAAAACACCGTGCTAGTGATGGCTATTGTATTGGAAGTCGGAGTCAGCCGTGCCCCACGCCTGCTGTAGGAGCCCACACCGGTTCTGAACCTGGCAACGAGCATGTGTTGGGTGAAATCATGAGTTCACTGACGGGGAGGCACCCTAAGTTTACACGACACAGCTTACAGCACATGTATAAACGAGAGTGCACCGAAGCTCCCTGTGTTAAATAGCAGATAAAATTGCCAGAAAGCATTCTTTCTGACAAAAGAAAATGTAAACATTTCTCCCACAGTCACTGCTGACTCCCTGTACTTGAGGTTTCTTTGCTATGAACAGTTCATTTTTTTCTGACCACGTGAAGGCCAAAATTAAGTTTTCAGGTAAATGGCATTTTATGGATGTAGTGGTTTAGGCCATTGTAGACACCTGGATACAAGATACATAGTGGTGAGGCTTCTGATGTCAAAGATACAGTGATGTGTCTTCAGTCACACGCATTTCGTGTGCCTTTGTTCTCCAAAAGGGACCATTTTGAAGTCATCTTGATGACTTCATGATGATACCTAATCATCATGGTATTTTCCCTTGGGACTCACTACTTACGGGGATATATTTTCCTTTTCCCATGTCAGCTTCCTCTTCCTTTTTAACATAACTCTTGCACCTATTAGTGGGAGTTTGTAGGAACACCGGAAGGAGACCAACACACCTCTTTTTCTTCACAAAATCGGTGTTTCCAGAGAAGTTACTGTTATGCACCCATTCAAATAAAACCCAACAGAGTCAAAACCCTCTCCCTTCGTGGCACTGGAACAGTAAAGTGATGTTAACTAAAAGGATTGGAAAATTTGGAAAAGTTAATAGAGTTAAAATTGTTTGTTCTTTTTGAATTTAAAAAAAAAATACTACCCTCCTTCTCCTTCAGCATCTGTCATATATATTCTGCCCTCCCATCTCTGCCATGATCTCATAGGGAAATGTGTATACTATATATATATATATATTTAAAAAAAAAAAAAAGCAGATTATAACGTGGTTCCAAACAGAATGTCTGCTTCTATCCTTAAAGCACATATTTCACTTATTCCTCCTCTGCATTAGAAAATAAAAGTGCAGCTTATGTTCAAAAAGTACAATTCATACAAAGCAAGGTTTAAAAGTTCTGTACTTAGTGTAACCTTTTAGAGGTTTGTCTTGATTAGTATAAATTCAGACTGCTTACCCATTGACTCTAAGTAATTTTTGTTGTTGTTTTCAAGTCTTTAAATGACAGATCATGCTGGAATAGATGTGCTCTTGCTTGCATGAAGACAGCTGTGCTATGGCGTGTTTTTTGTTGGTTTTTGTGTGTTTTTTTTTTTTTTTTAATCTCAAAGGTTAACGTGATTCAAGAGAGTGGTTTTGCTAAAGAAACCGAAGCACACTCGTCATTACATCGAAAAGGTAAGAAAACAATTCTGAGACAGCAAGCACAAAGGGCCCAGAATCACTGTGTGACGCCACAGGTCCGCTCACCGGGTCAGACGTATGTACACCAGTGTTGAATCTTTAAAAGTTTACCCCCCCCCCCCCCCCCCTCCTTGCCCTTTCCCCCCCCCCCCCCCCCCCCACCCACCCCCCCCCCCAAAAAAATAAAGGAGAGAGAGAGAGAAAAAAAAAAAACCAGAACCAAAGCATCCGCCTTCCCTCCAGCAGTCAGAGACGGTTCCGAGCTGCCTCTGCAAGGGGCCCCAGGGTGGGCTTGGATCGCGGGCTGCGCTGTGCTTTTCAGAAACCGCTGCGGGGAGAGGAGCGCGGGCGCGGCCGCGGGCAGGGCCCCGCGCCCCCCGCAGCGCGCCCCCTGGCGGCCAGCCGTGTCCCCGGGCGCTGGCGCGGTTGGGTCCGGCGGGCGCGCGCCCCCGCTCACAAGGGGTGGGCCAGCGCCTTTTTCGAGCGCTTGATCATACTGGGGTGGAACTCGGTGTGGCGCCGCGCGTGCTTGGTGAGGTGGTCGCTCCTCATGAAGCGCTTCTCGCACAGCGGGCAGCGGAACTGCTTCTCGCCCGTGTGCGTCCGGTAGTGGCGCGTCAGCTCGTCCGAGCGCGAGAACTTTTTAAGGCAGTCTGGCCACGTGCAGGGGAAGGGCCGCTCACCTGCGGGGGGGAGGGGGGGTCGAGACAGGACGCGGGTGAGACAGCAACGTCGCGGAAGGCGCCAAGCAGCCCCGGGACCCGCGCGACACGGCCCCGCAGGCGAGGCCCGCGGGCCCATGGCGTGCGCCCCCGCCCCCGGCACCCTCCCCCCCACCCGTCCCCATCGCTGGGCTGGCACCCTGACCCCCCGGGACCAGGCACGGGACTGCATGTGGGGACAGAGTCTTCGCAGAGGACCCTGACGGAGGCCTCGGAAGGAAGCAGCGCTGCGGACCCTCCCACACCGAGAGACACATTTCTGTCGCCTAAGCCACCCCCTCAGGGACACCTAACAGACCAATAAATACCCTGAGGACATTACCCTGAATCATGTTCTCCACGCAAAGGAACCTGCTGTGTTATACTCAGGGGACTCCTGAGCGCCTTGGCTGCTATCATCATCATCATTATTATTACTACTATTATTTGGGGGAGGGGGCTGGTTATTCTACGTGGTGGCTGGTCGCACAGGTTCTCCCAGGGAGTCAGGAACCTTAGCCCTTCCTGGATTTGCTGAGGCCGCTAGGCTCCCCTAGAGCAGGTGTTTCCCCTAGAGCTCCTGAGTTCTGTGGTCACCGATCCTCTGTCAGGGCCAGTCTGGGGACAGGGAGGCCGGCACCCAACAAGAAAGCCTGCTTGTTCCTGAGCATCTTGGTAACAAATACTTTTAGAGACCTGGAATGTGCTTCCCTGTGAAGGCCATATTTTAAGTCATATTGTTTTATTATTATTATTATTATTAATCTCTATGCCCCAGTGGGGGCTCAAACTCACAACCCTGACATCGAGAGTCACATACTCTTCAGGGGTGCCTGGGTGGCTCAGTGGGTTTAAAGCCTCTGCCTTGAGCTCAGGTCATGATCCCAGGGTCCTGGGATCAAACCCCGCATGGGGCTCTCTGCTCAGCGGGGAGCCTGCCCGCCCCCCCGCCTGCCTCTCTGCCTACTTGTGATCTCTGTCAAATAAATAAATAAAATCTTAAAAAAAAAAAGTCACATCCTCCTCTGATTTAGCCAGCCAGGCGCCCCAAGTCATATTGTCCTATACAAAAAATACATTTGTTCCCTCTGCTGCGTAATAATCCTTTAACTATCTGAAGACAGCTCTTCTGTCTTTCTCTAGTCTCTGTTCAGACTAAGTGGCCCTAGTTTCTTTCATATTCCTCATCAAAGAATTAACATTATTCTAAAACAGTAGGAGCTAAGGGCTTCACATGCCTTATCACACTGATTTCTCATAGGACGCCCCTTGGAAGTGGCCCATTTCACAGATGAGGAAACAGGCTCAGCACTTGATGGAATTTCCAGCAGCCCCTCCTTCGCAGTGGCTTTCCTGATTCACCATATTGTCTCCATGTCCCACTTAATTAAAATGCAGCTAAGCTTCCCCCTCCCGATGTGATCAGGTTAGCCCTGGGGGGCCTCCTGGTCCCTGCTGTGGCAGGAGAGGGCCCGTGGCCACGTCGGCCGGACCCACACAAAAGCTGAAAGGCAGAATGAGCCGTTTAAGATGAGAGGGCCTTGTGCGGCCCTCTCTGTGCGTGCCTGCCTGCCTACTTCTCACCTCATTCAAGCACAGCCCAAAGCAGCGGCCTCACAGACCCCGGGCACACAGGCTCCTGCCTTCCGCAGAACTCTCCAGACACTCCTTTGGTAGGTGTGAGGAGTGCATGTTTTCTCACTTCTGTCCCCACCTTCCTGGAACCCAGAGACTCAAAAGGCTGAGGGCTGCCTGGTGCGGTGCCTCTGAGTCATGCAAATATTATTCATCCTTCCCCCCTCTGCTTCTCCTACCCTGGGCCAGAGATGTAGAAATACCGATAATAACAACAAAACCAAGCCTGTGTCATCTCGATGACAGTCCACACATGGCTAAGATTTTATTTGCTGTTCTCTCAGCAGTGCAATGGTCATCACGCCCTGGTCAATCTCCTTGTTCTTACGGGAAACCGTTATGTGCAAAACAAATCTGTACCAATAGCTTCGTTACATGTGGGTCTGGGTGTAAACCCTTGCTTCGCCGGGGGCTGGAGAGCCACAGTAGCACAAGGCAACGGGACACCGATGAATGCCAAGTCCTACCCGAGGTGGACAGGTGCTGGGGTTCAGGAGGCGTGAATATGCTCAAAGACTCCAGGAGGGCCAACACCCCCCAAAACAAAACGAAAAGAAACTGTACTTCAAACTGAACCCTCTGAAAAACTCAACAACACAGAATTGGAAACCACACTTTTGCAACTTCTGCCAGATCCAACAGCATTCTACCCGGTTCAGAGCTTGGAACAAAAAGGTGGAATGCAGGTTGGCATAACCCAACAAGGTTGAACCCCCTGGGATGAGGACAACATCAGGTCTGATTTTTGTGCTGCTTATACTGCCAAGCATTTAGTTACTTCCTAAGTGTGTGCAAGTGTGTGTGAGTGTGTGTGAGTGTGTGTGTACATATAGCTGGGGTCACTCACATGACCAGACCTACTCAGAAGTTCCCAGATCGCTGGGGAAGACAACTCCAGCCTCAGAGTTGTCTTTCAGTTGTAATTCAGAGTTACACAGCTGGGGTCCTCTGAATCCCTGTGAAAGGTTTATGGGAGAAATGTTCTCTTAAACATGTTATGTTAAAAAATATAATGAAGGGTTAGAATTCATACAGCGATGAATTATAAAACCAAACCAAACCAAAGCATGCCAAACAAACAACCGTCCCCGCTCCCTCCATACTGGAACCATCTCTCCCCTGCTTTGTGATTTGGTGGTGAGAAAAGCGACAGAAAGGAAAATTCTGGTGTTTTCTCGGTGCTTGTTAGGACAAAATCTCGTCAGAGTGATTTTTCTTAGAGGAGTGGTAATGTGGTTTAGCTTACTCACTAGCACATGTTTCTTTCAAGTGAGTCATGAGAGGAGGTTAATTTATTGGAACAGATCTGTGTCCACTGTGGAAAAAATGGATCAGAAGACCACTCTGCTATCCTCTGCATTGGAAAGAGAAAGAAGGTACTTCCTCTGTTTTAGGAAGATGGCTTGATGGAAGAGAGGAGTCAATGGAAAATGGTCATGAAGCTTGAATCAGCTGTATGTACGGAACTATTAAGTATTTATGCTTGTGATGTATGTATGTTTCAAGTGTAATCAGGGTCCCTCCCCATTGAATTCACCTTCAGTCTAGCTTATGGCTACACTGTCTTCACTGCCCCTCATGGCTGTCACCCTGTGATTATTCTCTTGCTTCTAACCCAGATGCTGCCTTTGACGTAGCATCTTTATCCGTTTCAGAGAAGAGAGGGCCACCTACTGAGCCCAGAGCAAATCCGAGCCGACAGCAGCCTTTGTTAGACTCATATAACTCGTATAATTCCACCTTACAGTTTCTAAGCATTTAATAAAAGATCTACTTGGATGTGAATTCCTAGTGTAGAATCTCCAGGATCATTTTTTATTTTTCTCGGATCCTTTGGGAAAACATTAGGAGCTTTGGGTCAGTGATCTAAATCGGGGTTTAGCAAGCTATAGCCCACAGGCCAAATCTGACCTGCCATCTATTTTTGTAAAGTCTGTGAGTTAAAATGGTATAAACACCATTTTTACTTTGGTTTTTTACCAAATTGGCTGGGGGGTGGTGTGTGGGGAAATCAAAAGAACAATAATATTCTGGGATAGGAGAAAGTTTGATGAAATTCAAATCGCCATGTCCATATCCCAAGTTAATTGGACCACAGCCACATTCGTCTGTTTGGGTATTGTTATCTATGGCGGCTTTCTCACTCCGACAGCGGGGTCAAACAGTGGCTGCAGACACTGTACGGCCGACAACGCCTAAAAGCTTTGTTAAGGGGTCCTGCGGAGAAAGATGGCCAACCCATGATCTCACCCTGAAGACATGAACTTGTACCTGGTGTACACCAGAGTTTGCAAGTCCAGATGTTTTCAGGAGCCAGACACATGGTAAAAATGGGTGAAACACCAGGTGCATTCACGGGTTGTGCTGGATAGGGCTTTATCCCCTTCAAAGGCATTCGGATTCAACACTTTACAAAGCATTGTGCCAGCCAGACAATGTGTGCGTGCAGGAAGCCTGGGTTCTTCTTGGGGACTTAGGATTTGTAGCCCTTTGAAACCACCCACCTCTTTAACCCGTGAAGGTTCTGCAGCCTACTCTGGGATACATTTCGGCATGTTCGCTAATAATAGACACATAATAAGGTATCATCTAAAAAAATGATACATGCTTTGCACCTAAGAAAGTATGGAATGGAGAAATCCTATGCGGAGAAGGAACAGAATTTAAAGGTGAATGGGACCAGAGATCACGGGACAGAGGAGGAAAAGAGAGGTCTTGGAGAAGCTGTGGCTGTTGTCCCATCATCCTACAGCTAAGGGTAAATCAAGTCAGGCCTGGAATTCCGCTCAGTGCTAAGGCCCACAAAAGAACAGTTAAGTTTCTTCACACCGACCAAATCACACAGCACAGCAACTCTCAATTAAAGAATCTTTAAATTTGTCAGTATTAATGAGAGCGTTACCGTTCTCCAGGGGAGGGGGGTGGGAAGAACAGGCATGTCCTAGTGTTTTATTTCTGGCCTTTACAGGAAAACATACCCAGAGGCAGTGACACAATAAACTCTTGCTTTACCGGTGCAGAGCTCTTAACAGCACAAGCTCCTGCGTTCTCATTATTTCCATACCGCTCCCCTCCCCTTTCGGCAGTGAGCTAAGCACCTCTCAGTGACAGGCTCGGCTTGGAGTAGAAAATTAACTGGATCAGAATAGCTACTGATCCAGTATGGCACACGGTGTGTAAAAGACTTTTTTGCAGACAAAGGTCAGGCCTCCAGAGGTCTCCTGGGCCTCCAAGGGGTTCGAGAGGAGGGGAGTAGAGGCTGCTGGCTATGCGCTTGCGCACTTGCCTACTTAGCCCAAAGGACGGCTCCGCTCGTTGTTTTTAAGAAGGAGCCTCCACTCTACCTG